TGTGTGTGTGTGTGTATATATATATATATATGTCCTAATATACTTCTTTGACATATTTTGAGATGCTTCTCAGAGGGCCTGAAAATAGAAGTAGTGCTGGAAAAAAACTGTCTTTGGTACAGGAGATCTGCATCTGTACAGAAAATCAGCAGGACTATAGATATTGTTTAACCACAGAGTGCATACCCATAAAATATTTTAAAGCGGAAAACACGTACTAGAAGTAATGGTAAGATTAGCTTAAAACACAAATTGGTATTCCACATTTCTAATGCACATTGTGTAATATTCAAGTAATTATTTTAAATGGTTGTTTATGATTATTTTTGTTTTTAAATCATAAGTGTAACTGCCAATACAAATATAAAAATAATGCTATATCATTTAATTTCTCAAATTAAAGTTTCTCTTCTACTTGTCATATGGCAGGATGAGAAATAAATTCACTACAATACAACTTATTACTCTGTTGTAAAATAACGCTTGATTAAAAGTTTCTACCAAGAGTAGCTAGGATATAATACCATATAACATACTGATGTCTACATAATTCCTTTGACTAGAAATGAGAGAAAAATCACTGAATAAAGATTACTAGAGAAATATAACCTGTTAGGCAGCTCTAGTTTCTTAGCCTTTTTAAGTCATGTAACAAAATAATGCTATTTCACTGAACACCATATATAAGTGGCAACTCATTCAGTTTCCCTAAAGAATGTCCCTAGATATATGGGAAATATTTTATTTTTGACAAAATGATAAGTTTTGCACTGAAATGCAAGAAATTAAAATGAGAGAGAGCTTTTTTGGCTCTATAAGGTTAATTGAAATTAATTATTGTGGAAATTGAATCATGTATGTGCCAAAATACTGACAATGGACTTTTTAAGTGTTTCCCCAAACAATTGCTAAGTATAAAAAGAGACGTATCTACACCCAACCCACTAAATAATATGCAGATTAGTTACACTTGATAGTCATCTCTGGTTCTCTCAGAAACAAATTTCAAATCTGTGCCAAACGAGACACAACCATTTCATATTCCAGAAGTTCCTAACTTTGCGAGTAATTGATTTTTTATTCTCTGATCCTAATGCATTCATCTCTGATATTATATCCATCACCAATTAAACACCTGTGCGATACAATTTTGTGCTGATCCAGTATAAAAATTTCCAAAAAAGATACATTATATTTTTATGGATTATACACACTACTCCCATTAAAATTAATGGGAATTCCATAGCTAATTCCCTAAGTGCCAGAATGAAAATTGCCCTATTCTACTCAATAACCTCAAAATTTCTCATTGCCTACCTAGTATGCCAAATGCTGATAAGTGGATTGTGCCACCTGCATTGAGCACATATTTATCTAAATGGGAGGAAAAAAGATCCAGTAGGATGTCATTTGTCATATATGTATTTAAAACATTTTACAGACTAGAAATATGTAAGTAAAGTTTTTGTCTAGGGATGAATTAATATTCTCAAATTAATTTTATGATGAGAAAATTCTTAAAGAAAATTTAATTTTAAGAAGCACACAGATGACAATACTTTTCAACCAGATGATTCATAAAAATGGTAAAGATCTGAATCTTAATATAAAAGTAATGTTTGCCTTCACTACTAGCAGAGAAGCAAAAATTTGCTGTGTCGATTATTGAGACCCATTATTTTCATCTCTTTAGACTTTACATGAAAGCATTTTGTGAGAAATATTAAAAGCTTTAATTTATACTTTAAAAAATCAGGTTTTAAAGTCCTAGTGTAATATACAACCTCAAATAATAAATAACTGTACAGCCCACCAGAAAATGAAGAAGAAAACAATAAAAGAGCATCTTACCTTAAAGAAGACAAAAAAAATGAAAGAAAGAAAGAAGGAAGGAAGGAAGGAAGGAAGATGTAACAGACAGAACAAATTTAAAATGATTAATTTAAATCCAAACATATTAGTAGTTACATCAAATTTTGTCTTTTTTAATTTTAATGAGCCTATTACATGCTATGCCCAGGAAACCTATAAGGCTACAAAATATTGAAAGTAAAAGCCTGGAAGGAGTTATGTCATGCAAATACTAAACAAGTGTAGCTCTACTGACTTCTGGCTACACAGACTTTAAGACAATAAGCAAAA